TTTAATAATTTTCAAGTTAAAAAAATCTGTGAAAAAAATAATCTCTAAAATTTGACTCTCATCCAAATTTTGTTCTAACAATTACAAAAACCTGAAAAAATTTAGAGAATCAAGAATTGTGATAAACTATTTGTCCTAATATTTTCAAAATAATTGGCTTAGATTTGAATTTTTAAAGAGGAGATAGAATACTTATGACTGCTACTGTAAGTAATAAAAATTATTTTATTATTTAATTATAATTATATTATTATTTGATATAATAAAATTATAAATGCATTACTATTTAATTATATCTCAATAAACTTATAATTATACATGTGGTATAAATTATTTTGCTGTTGACTTAATTGCCAAAATTCTCAAAAATAATTGCATCTGATTCAATTATTTTATATGTTTTAATAGTGACTCAAATAATTGTGTCAAATAATTGCATCAATTGCATCAAGGATCTACCAATTTCTACCACATGTATATTTATAATTATATCAAAATTTAATTTCAATAAATTTGCAATTATATCATTATTTAATAATTTATTCAATTATTATTATAAAATAATTTTACAAATAAATTGATATGTAATTACAATTAGATTATTATAATCTTATAATAATTTGATAACAATCTAATAAAGTACAGTTTTATAATTTATAATTACTATTTAATTAAGATGATTTAATAATAAAATAGTCACTATTGCTATAATTGAATTAATGAGATTTATTAATAATATAATAATTATTTATTAATAATAATTTAATAAAGTTTTAGTAATAAAATAATAAAAAAATAAGTATTTAGTAAAGTTAAAAAGGATTATACTTAGAAAATTAGAATTTAAAAATTTTTAAATAATTAATATTATATAGTAATAGTTTAATAAACCTATTTTTTTATATTAAAATAATTAATAAATAATCTAATTATATAGATAATATAATGGTCTCAATTATATATATGGTAAATTGAATTTAGATATTTTTCAAAAATTGTATTATAGAAAATTACTAAGTAACATATAGTAAATAATTGAAAATAGTAGTTAATTCAGAATTGTATTATAGTTTTAATATTAAGAATTTAAAGATTATATACAAATCTAAAATAATTTATTAATAGATATTTTGTTATAAGAGAATAGTTTGGCTTTAATCTAATATTATATTGTATATTATATTATTGTTTTCTAAAAAAAAATACAAAACATATATTTAATAATTTGATTAAAATTAAAAAAAATAATAAACAATAGTTTTGGATTATATATACTATATATATTGATTTTTGCATTTTTTAAATATAATTTTCAATATATTATACAAAAAAATCCTTATATAAACAATATAAAAATCATATAAATATAAACTTTATTAGACCAGTGGATCAATAGCACAGTAGATAGTGCTCACTAGTCTTCAAATATATGTTTCTAGTTCAATACCCACAAGGAAAAAAACATATAAATTATTCTTCATTTATGGATTTTATTAGATTTCTATAAATGTTGTATCCAAATATCTGGATCCTGACCAAATTCAGTTAGATTACATAAAGATGGAATCTCTGGTCTTTTTGATAATCATGGGTTAAAAACAGATTGAAGCAGAAAAGGTTGCATAAGGAAAGACTTCTGGTTTAACTCTGATAAAAGCTCCACTATATTTCATATTATTAGGAAGTAAGTTAACTAAAAAGAGATTATTAATAGGACACCATTTCTGGATTGATTATAACTAGTCAAAATGGCATTTGTCCTTAGATTTGGTAGTATGTGCCAATCAAGAAAGGTAAGCTCTTAGAGCACTTATTAGAAAATATATGTTTCTTGATACTTCTTGATTCCAGAGACTAGTGAGCTAAAGATATGATATGAAAGTTTCTTATCGAATAATAATACAAGTCATATAAGAAAAGGACTTTCTAATCTTAAATTATTTGAGTGTACTATCTTTTCAAAGATTCAAGATAAAAAGTATCGAGGTATTCAGTTATCCTATTCACCTCTGCAAGGTAAATCCATTCTTTAATAAAAATGGATTAACAGATTAGATGGTTTAAAACTGATGGCAGAATTTTCACTTTCTGGTTAGTCTCATCATAATATAAGGTAAAATCACTCATAAAGTATAAGCTTATAAGTTAAGGTTAAGAAATAGAGTAGGCTAGCATTAGCCGTAGTGTAGTACTATAGAAGATGTACAATGTATAATCAATGATTCTTATATCAATAAAATCATTGGTGTCTAATGCCTGTTCTACTATAAAAAAAAAAATAAAATAAACTTTGTTAAAAATTAATTAATATTTATATTTTAAATTTCAAGCTAAAAATATTTGATGTAGTTTATTTAACTATTGATAAATTATAATAAAAACAATAATGTTATATTGAATAATTGTATGATAAATATAGGAAACTAGAAATAAATAGCAAATTATGATTAAATTTATTACAAATTCCTTTAAATATACATTATATTTCAAAAAAAATCATTTAATAACAATTTTATAAATAGGCATTAAGTAAATAGATACTTGTTTTTTAAAAATCACAGATAAGCATTAAATATGAGATATTTTTAAACCTTAGTTTATTATTATTATATTAACAATATATTATATAGATTATTTACAAATTAGTAGATATTTATATATTAAAGTACTGAATAGCAAATGTTTATTCAAAAATATAACTGGAATAAAAAATTTTTTTCAATTAATTATCAAAAAAAATTTCCAAAATATTAAGTATATTTTGAGGTACTGTATTTAAATGTGACAATTAATATTGGGAAAATATAATCTTTGAATTTTTTCTTCATTTAATACTTGATGATGGTGATGCTGTAGCAGTTGTGAAGCGTAGAGTTAATTTGTATAATAATTGATTTTTTTCTTTGGGATGTTGTTGGTGATTAAGGTATTGAGCTTGACTCTTTTTTTTTCCTGAAGATTCCTCCCCACACTGGTGCATATATGCTAATAGACTAATTTCTGCTTATAGATGACATCGCTTGCTATTTCGAGAATCGCTCCGTTTTTTGGACTTCACCGGCTTTTTGATAAAATCTCTATGTACTTGCTTATCGGTGTCACGTATTTTTCACGTTTCAATAAGACATGAGCACAAGCTTAACTCCGACCCTTCTACACGTGATACCATGTTTAATGAATTCTTGCAAATCGTGATACCAGACTTGAACCTACATTTAAAGGATGACATTAGAATTTGTACCAATTAATGAATTTATCACAATGCTCCAAAGAATAGAACCCACCGAGGAAACAAATTCAAGACAACGACTCATCCGACCAACAAAGTGATGAAAACAATTCGAAGTTTCCTCTGGTTCCAGCCAACGATCGTTTCCGGTTTTAACTCAACAATCCAAAATCAATTTAAAATTATTTTTTGATAGGATTAGGGCAAAAAACAATATTCGTTAAATGCTATGTGTAATATAGTATCTGTTGAGATTCTTGATCTCAGGATGAGAAAGATTAGTAAGGAAACCGCAAAAATTTTTATCTAGTTTTGATATGTAAAACATTAGATGAAATAGGCGTCTATAGATAGTAAAAATAGTTATAATTTAGATTACAATACGGAGTGTCAGGGAAGGAGTAGCCATTATATGGGTTACGGCTCGTCAAATCCTCTCTTAATACATCCCGCTACTTCCTATGTTCAATTTTAATTATGCATAAGCTTTATTAAAAACTATAGAATCGATATACAGCTATATTTGATATTATATTTATATTGTGGATTGCACATTGATAATTGATAAAAATATCCTCACATTAAGCGCGAAACTAACTATACACATTAAATGGGTAGAAGTCAAGTTTGAGTTTCTTCTCGGAATTCTCATGCTCATGCTTCTCATTTCCTCGTTTAGCCCGATTATGCTTTTTAAAGAAGTCATCCTTACTTTTATATGGCCGATTTGTAATAATGTTTTCGGCAGTGACATCACCAACCCCGGGAAGACATTCTACCATCCTTTGCAGTTCCGAAAAGTTAGGATTGATGTTTTTTGTCAAGGCAAATGTAGCACGAGAAGAAAATACAGGCCCAAAGTACTGTTCGAAATTGTTACACGAAATAATAAAGCAATTATCGTATGGAACTATTTCATAAAATGGTTGTGTTGTGAAAACAATCGTTATGTGACGATAATCAGCAAGTTTATCAAAAAGCTGTTTTGTAGTATTAAAAGCGGAACTCTCACAATTCTTAATGTGTTCATTTAAAAGATCTTTTAAAGTGAATGTGGGCGAGTTATAGTCATATTTGGCTTGGTGAATACTTAAGAAACGATCACCTTGAACTGATTCCAAAACTCTGAATGAATCTCCCCATTTAGCAGACACACCATTGACAATCACATCCTCGCCTTCCTCCCAGGGAATGGACTTTGCAGAATCTTTTTCTGTTAACTTTAAACATGGGAACTGCTCTTGTGCTCGACGGACAG